CACCCTGAACAGGGGGAGGAGGAGAGACAAGCCTTGGCCAGAGCCTCGGGGCGCCTGCTGCCCTCCGAGGAGGCCCTGCACAGAGAGGGAAGGACCCCAGTGGTGACATGAGGAAAGGATGGGAAAGAATGGCCAGGAGTGAAAGCTGCAATCACCAAGAAGTCATGTAGACTGGTGTACCAACAAGGGCCAGCCATCTGGGGCTGGGGACACCGTGTGGCACACACATCTCCAGCCATTTATTTTCTTTCTTTGGGTCCATCCCATGTGCCATGTGCCAGGCTCCCACACCCAGGTTTCAGGCAGCTCTTACACATGGAAAAGCCGGGCCACAGAAAGTTCTAACAACGGGGACAGGAGAGTACACCCTCCCCGCAGAGAAATCCCATGGTCCCAGTTCCACAGATAAGAAGGGTGAGGAATCAGGGCCTTGGGCCAGGAGATGGGGCAGCTTTGAGGATCACAGTGGCAGTTCTGTGGTGTTGACAGGGTTATGAGAGCTGGGGAACCTCAGCCTCCTGACCCAGGGAGTGCTTCCAGCAACAGCCGCAATGGCCACCCAGAAGAATCCTTTTCTCAAGGAGTTTCTCGGGGGCCAGCATCACCCCAGCAAAACAGTTTATTTCCTATAATTGCTCAATACATTAGGCAGAGTTATTCCTTTTCAGAGATGAAAAAAAACATTGGCCCAAGATCACACACAAGAAATCCATGTTGGAGTGGGGCCGCAGCTTCGGTCTGCTTGACTTGAAAGTCAGCACACTCCTTCCAGTGCATCCCAGTTCCCCTTCAGAGAGGTGCTAGGGAGGCACACTTTGGCTCTGCTACCCCACACAGGGGTCCAGGGCTACCAGAAAGAGCCAGGGATGTTGAGAGACAAAAATAATTCTGGGCAGCAAGCTGGTCAAGTGTGGATTTTCAGGAAAGTACACAAGGACTTTATAGTAATGCTGCTGCACTTAAAGAAACCTCTGGTGGTAGGAGAAGACTCCGTCCACTTAATCCTAATGAAGTTCTTCATGGGAAGTCTCCCACACACCATGTGTACCCTCTGGGCCTTTAAGACCACCTGAGTCCTATTTATTCTGCAAGCAGCAGCCTGAATGACTCCTTCCCTGGGTTGTCTGGGTTGGCCCTGGTCACATATTGCGACCTCTTCTTTGTGCCCCTGAATGGCTGCTGTCCCTAGCCGTTGCTCCCTCTGCACCTGCTCACCACTCTTGCACAGGGGAGGGGAATGTGCCAGGAGGGCAGAGCTAGAGACATTAGATGCTTCCTAAAGAGACCCTGCTCCCTCATCTCGGCAGATTCCTGTCATGTCTTAATGAACCTCTCCATAATCCGAGCACTTTCCCTGCCCTGTGCACACTGGCTGGAAGCGAATCCTGAAAGGTCCCAGGCAGCCTCAGGACCCAGGACTCGGAGGTGCATTAACCGTACTTACAGATCCTCATTCCTAAAGCACCATCCAGGAGCCTCTGCAGCTGTCAGCACTGATGGCGGGGGGGGGGGGGGGGGGTGCCCCCAATGAGGAACTGACTAGGAAGGAAAGCAGCCACAGCTCAACACAAAGAGACCCCTTCACCCTGATGTGAAAGGACAGGCCCAGGCAGGGGACAGAGATCGTTCCCTTTTATTCAGGGAGGCTGGAAGCCTCCCACAGAGCCTGTATTGTCACATAGGCATCTGTCCAGAAGGTATCCTTTTATGAAACTATGAAATAAGATGCCAAGTTGTAACTGTCGACTGCTGAAAGGAGTGCAATGCTTACCAGGAACACTGCAATTCATTAGCATGAGACTGCTTAAAGGGACTTGTCCTCTGGTCTCTGGCCATGGTGAAGCCATCTCCATGAGAACTATACCTGGGCAGTTTTATTCATAATGATGAAGGTGCTCTGAGGTCAAATTGAGATTGCTGCAGGGAAGGGACAGTCATAGTGATGGCCCAGAGGAGATGCTGGTTGAAAGACAGCTGGTACAAAGGCAGCAGGACCACTGAAATTTAAGGAATAAATGAATGTGATAGTTGTTCCCAAAGCCAAGTGGGAATGATATCTATCATGCACAGGGAAGAATGTCTGAGAAAGGCAGACAAGACATCTACAAAACTCAAAATAATGGCCAGCATCCAGGAAGGACATGGATGGACATGGATGTGTACAAACAGAATAATCAAGAATGACAGATCTGAACAGACAGCCTGGTAATAACTAAGGCAATCTACCCATTTTACAGGTGGGGAACTGAGGAACAAAGAAAAAGAGGGGCTTGTCAGGGGTCACACAATCAAATTAAGAGGCAAAGCTGAGCTGAGAACTCAGGTCTCTGACTCCCCAGCTGATGCTCTTGTGCTCATTAGACTACAGCCCATCCTTTCAACATGGGCCATAAACTCCTGGACAGCAGAAAACATAATATTGTGGCCCAAAGGTGCCCAGCACAACCAGCTCATGAGGTATCCACATTATCAGCCCACACAAATGTCAACCTGAAGATAAATAAGGAGTGTAAAAGAAAAGAAGTGAGACGACCACATGGCTCACATCTAACAGCCAGTTCTCTGGAAAGAGAATGTTGTTCTCCCCATTCAACCTCAGGCAGAGATGCTAAGAAATGATCAATCTTTACACTCCTCTAAGAACATACCTTGAGTTGTGTTAAACTCAAAGGAAGACAGGAGCCAGATCCGACGCTGCAGATACTAAGTGGCCTCAAGAGTCACAGGCTCAGTGCCTGGCGAGAGACCCTCAGCCACCAAGAGAAAGATGCTTGTCATCCACCTCCCGGTTCCCTGTTCTAGTCAGACCTGTTTGTTTCTGGAAAAGTGTTTGCTGCAACGTCCAATTAGTTACACCTTCTAACCAGCCCCTCATGGTTAGAAATTTTCTTATGCATTTGCTTAAATCATATCAATAAGAGTGAAGCATCAATACATGCCAGAGGAAAACTTTCCACGTGCAGGGTCAGTGATGCATGGGCCCCTGGCATCGGAGGTGCACACTTGTGCTGAGCATTCTCCTTGGGTGAACTCCGCTGCCTACCACTGGCTGCCTGCTCTGGAGAGGACAGAACCACATGAGCTCCCTAGATGACAGTCTGGCAACCCACTGAAGTATGCCTCCCGAAAGGGGGAAAAGGATCCAGGGCTCTCTGGTCTGACACATAATTCCACTTGTGCTTCGGCTCCAAAGGACAGAGTAGAAAATGTGGTCCTCACAATAAGGTGGAGGAGGGAAGAATTCACTGGATTAGACAAAGGGGAATAAAGGGAAGGGAGGGGGGATGGGAGTAGGAAAGACAGTGGAACGAACCAGACATAATTTCCCCATGTTCATATATGATACACGATCAGCATAACTCCACATCATGCACAACCACAAGAACGGCAAGTTATACTCCATGTATGTATGATATGACAAAATACCCTCTACTGTCATGTATGACTAAAAAGAATCAATAAGAAAATGTTGTCCTTTCTTCACAAGGGGATGTGTCTGAGGCCCTGTAACGCCAGGCCGTACTGGGGGGCACTGAACTGCAGAAGGCCACGTTCATGGCATTCATAAAAGCAGGGAGAGTCCCAATCGACATTCCTGTCCAGAAACAGGCTGGGACAACTCATCAGCTTTCAATTAAATCAGCCACAAGGCATGTCATCTGACCACGCGTGGAACTACAGCCCAGGGTGAGTAATCAATGACACCGGAATATGAGCAGCACAAGGGAAAAAACCCCAAAGAAAAAAGACGTCTTTCCTTTCCCTGTCCTCCCTCCCCAGAAACAATCTCTGGCAGACACGTCTTAACACACACAGAACAACATGTTCAGGAAGAAAAGGAAGAAGAGCGAGTGGGACGGCCACCCTGGGAAACAGGCAGGTTCCCCAGGCAGGCAGCTTGCTCCCTTTCTATTTTGAAAGCGCTTCAGAGCTTCCCAGGGATAACTACATAACCCATCAGAGGGTTTTCACTGGAGAACAGCAGCCCAAGCTTCCATGGGCAGGGAAAGGGTTTGAGAAGAAGGGGGAACGATGACAACACTGAGCTATGTGACTCTGGCGTCCTGATGCAGCAGACCTGGAAGCAGCTGCCGGGAGAGGGGGCCTGTTTTCTCAGTGTCCACTTTGAAATACTGCAGCCATTTGCCACCTGCTTTATCGTACTCTGGAGTTTTTTTATTGCTGTTTGGCAACACCTCTGGCCTGCAGGAGCCAAAGGGCAAGTGGACGAGGCGGAGACTTCCCCTAACTGAGAGGCTCATGACCCGAGAGAGGCTGTTTTGAGAACCACAGTCCCTGTGTGCCCCACCAGCTACACCAGGACGGCCCCACCCCTCAAGGGGCTCCGAGCACATGACGGATGGATGGCCTGCCACTGTGATCACAGGCTGGGCTGTGTCTGCAAGGGGATCTGTGCTTGGAATTGGCTGTGGTGGTTCTCACATCCAACAGGAAACTTGGGTGATTTCCCAACTGGTCCTGGCCCTGGCCCTGGCCCTCAAAGTGCCCTTCTCTATTCACTCGCAATGGAAGGCCCAGCTGCAGGGCAGCTGGTGAACTATGGGAATAGTGGCTCTGAAGGAACACAGCAAGAGACACCAAGAGTCCAAGGCTGTGGGCACAGATTCCTGGGGCTCCTCCAGCCTGGCCAGAAAAGCACTTCCTCTCCAGGAGCAGGGAGAGGGTGTCTGTATGCCAGGGCTCTGCTGAGGGCTCCTTGTTTACTGACTCAGCTAATGAGTCTCCCCTGCACTTATGCTAGGGAATATGAGTACCTCCTACTTCCAAAGGAGAAACTTGGGGCTCAGAGAGGTTTGGCAACTTATCTAAGAAGGTCCAGTAAGAAATCAATCATAAAAGTGCCTTACTCAACTGTTTGACCCATCACATACAAATTTTTGAGAAAAGTCCTCAGACATGTCTGAAGCTCCCTATTTAAATCCCATTATCTGAGACAAAGGGAACACCGCAGCCTCTGCCCCTGCAATGCGCCAGGCCGTGGCCGCCCAGGGACTTTGAACATGTCGAGGATCGCCCTCAGCAGACTTGCCCAGGAGAGAAAAGCTTGGAGGAAGGACTATCCCTTTGGCTTTGTGGCTGTCCCAATTAAGAAGCCAGATGGCATGAGGAACCTGATGAACTGGGAATGTGCCATCCCAGGAAAGAAGGGAACTCCATGGGAAGGAGGCTTGTTCAAGCTGCAGATGCTCTTCAAAGGTGACTATCCATCCTCACCACCAAAATGTAAATTTGAGCTATTGCTATTTCACCTGAATGTGTACCCTTCTGGTACAGTTTATCTGTCCATCCTGGAGGAGGACAAGGACTGCAGGCCAGCCATCAGGATGAAGCAGATTTTATCAGGAATACAGGAACTTCTAAGTGAATCAAACATCCAAGACCCTGCTCAAGCAGAGGCCTACACGATTTACTGCCAAAACAGAGTGGAATATGAGAAAAGGGTTCGAGCACAACCCAAGAAGTTTGCACCCTCATAGACAGAGACCCTGTGGCATCATAAAAAGAAGGGATTGGTTTGGCAAGAACACCTTTTGCAAATCTCAAGTCGCTTGTGCAGTTACAGATTGCCTGGGAGGGTTGGGCGGGCACCATCTTCCATTTCCGCCACTGGCATGCAGTTCTCAATTTGCTGAATTGCCCCAGTTTTTCATACAGGGTCTCTTCCTTCAGTCTTTTGTATTTTTGATTATTATGTAAAATTTGCTTTTATTTTAATATTGATGTCAGTATTTCAACTGCTTTAAAATTATAAACTTTTAGGGAGGGGAGGGGAGGGGGGATAGTAGAGGATAGGAAAGGCAGCAGAATACAACAGACACTAGTATGGCAATATGTAAATCAATGGATGTGTAACTGATGTGATTCTGCAATTTGTATACGGGGTAAAAATGGGAGTTCATAACCCACCTGAATCAAAGTGTGAAATATGATATATCAAGAACTATGCAATGTTTTGAACAACCAACAATAAAAAAATTAAAAAAGATAAAATTATAAACTTTTATACTTGGGTAAGCCCCTAGGAGCTAGTTCCTTTGCTTGAATGCAGGCATGCTTCACCATTCAGAGCTGTCCTAGCTTCCAGCGGGCTGTGTGGAAGTCCCTGTCCCTCCCTCCCACACCCTTCTCTCAGAACCTGGCTGTTGCTAATGCGCCTCTGATCCAAAGTCAGCAGCATCTTGACCTGCACCCCTTCCTTTGTGTTTATATGGCATTTGTCTGTGTTGCTGTTTAGAGTAAATAAGCTGTTTATATATTTTCTTTTAAATCCCATTATTTTTAAAAACAAGAAAAGTTTCTGCATCAAAGGTGGAAATAGCAGAAAACTTCATGTCATCAATATGCATTACCTAAGACTTCTATGGACAGAGAAGGGTTCCCCATTCCCACCATCACCTCCCCCAAGACCCTCATTCTCAAGGATTTTGAAGACTACTGAGATTCCCCTTCATTGAACAGAAGCCAAAACCAAACTTCTGGAAAAGAAAGTGTAATGCCACAAATGTAAGCTGAAAGGAAATCTTTAATGACAACTGTCAACATGTATAAATATATCACACTCACAGAATCATCCAAATGCAATGCGAGATTAGAATTATTATTTCTATTTGCCAAATGAGAAAACAGAGAAATTAAGTGTGGTAATCAAGGACACAGCTGGTAAGCAGAACGCATACTCAAAGTTCCAAAGCCCTGTGCTTGCTCTTCACCCCATGCTCTCCTGCCTTCCGGGTCCCTGGATGCCAGGATCGGGCCAACAGTCAGCTCTACAGGCTCCACTCAGCCCGGAAGTCCCTGCCTCCAGTGTGCTAATCTATGTTTTCCACATTAGCAGCTGGCCCACACCTCTGAGGGAGGGGGAATGCAAAAGGAAATGAAGCTCATAAGAATGATTTATGCAACCTGTTAGCAGTTCTGGTAAGAGGTTTGGGGCCAGGAGGTTGATATTAATGACCACAGGCAGTTTTATATATTAGCTATACAACAAAATCTTTCTTGCAGCCCTGCTCACCTCCTCTCAGAATAAATCATGGAAACTGTCAGCGATAGCTCAGCCATAGTGTTGTTGCTAACTCTCAGCTCCTGTTTTGTGGATAAAACAAATTATTATGAAAAGATGTAGTTTTTGCTGCAGAGTAAGGTGGGTCTCCTTTGTCAGTCTTGACAACTTCAGTAACTAGGTGCAATCATCTGCTTTAGGATAGGATGAAACTCATTTATTCATTTATTATGATCTTGGCTGGAAAACAAGGGATATACACATACAACACGTAACATCCAGTCTAAATTTTCCTCTCCACTTCTATTGACCGAATGAAATTACAGCTCTTACACCTATTTATGAAGTTCAATGTGCAAGGGAAGTGGGATTTTACATCTGAAAATCTTCCATTTCTATGCTATAGATGTCCATGGTCCCTGGTGGCCTTTCCACATGTCTCTCTGGTATCTGCCAGAGACTTTTTTCTTTTTGGTCTCCCAAACCTGGAGTTCCCCTTCCTGTTTGGGACAGTTAGCCTGAGGTAGGCTGTTAGTCTTCAGGAGCCAGCTTTCTTTCAGAGTTCTGGAGATGGAAGCCATAGAACCCAATCTTCTTTGGGTGGAATTAACAGATGTTCTCTAAAGATGATTATACCACTGACCTGCCCAAACTGTGAGGGGTCAAATTCCCAACTCCCCATTTGAGGCTCTCTCTGGAGTCATGGGACTCCCATTTCTAACCTCCTGGGCCTGCTCTCTTTCCATTCTAAACACTCCCTCCCCATCACTGGCCCACCTACATTATGGATTTGTGTGAAATTAGGAAAGCTAGCAAAGGTTTCCTCCTTGTGCTCGCAGGTCCTCACCCACACTGGTCAGTGTGCACTCCCAGCTCAGGAAATGAGTGTCAGCTCATTTAATCCTTAAAACAACCCCAGGGACAGAAGTATCCATGTAGATAGGATTCAACTGCATTTAACAGAACAACATGTAAAGTAACAATGGTTTGAACACACGTAAGACTATGGCCAAGCCATTCAGGGAAAGACTGGCTGCTCCACAGGTATCAAGGGTCCAGGCTCCTTCTGCCTTCCCTTTCGGCTGTCCTAGATCCAGTTTCCATCCTTTAGGTCACCTCATGGGGCTCCTGTAGACTTGGCTGAATTCCAGGGAACAGAAAGGAGGAAGGAGGAAGGACACCTCCGCCTGCTCCCTGCAATGAGGCAGGCCCTGTAAGCCGCCTTTCTGCAACTCTTCAACATGTCTTCTTGTATCTGGCTGCACAAAATTTAGTCACATGGTCATACCTAGCTGCAAGGGAAACGTGAAGGACATTTTATGGCATAAAGCTGCCCCCAAATAAATGGGACTCACTGATAAATAAAAAAGAAAAAAGTTGACACAGAGCAGCAACTGGGCAGACCCTCAGTAGTATCACAACCCCCAAACTGTTTCTGCAATGCCTACAGGAGTTCTGTGAGCAGGATGCCTTGTTTGGGGAATCCACTCAAAGATGGCTGCTATCTCCTGAAACTGTTCTGATGGCAGACTTGTTCCATGCTGACTCTGAAAACACATTTCCTGCAGCTGCCTGGTTGTGTGCATGGAAGCTCATCTGTAGTCCTCTAACTACAAATACCTCAGCAAGTACTCACAGTTGCCTTTCAATGTTCTAGCACCTTGATGACCTCTTTTACATCTCCAATATTTCTGTATTTTGGCAGCAGTTCTTCTTGGTGTAAACTATGAATTTGCCATTTTATTCCAGTATTGAGCTGCCTGTTCCTTCCACCCAGCAGACACACCCTCCTCCAAAGTGTCTTGCAGTCCACCACAACCTTCACACTCAAGGTTAAGGTCTCTTCTGCCTCCTCCAGCTGAGAACAGTTGCAGGACCTATAGGCAAGAGAGTGGTGTATAGCACTGACATCCTTTCAGTGACGAGAGCTGCCTTCCGGCAGTCCCTAACCACTGTCAAGGACTGGGACCACATGGCGGCAGCAGAAAAGTGGGGCTCCACACCATTCCTGCTGCTCAAAAACCCACATCAGCAACTTTCAAGGAGAAAACCCAGAGTTTCCACTTCATTAACCTGGACATGCCTCTCTGCACCTCAAATGCAAAGAACTACCCATTCACAGATCTTTTGCAGCAAGAGGAAAAATACAATGATCATCTATTCAGTGGCAATACCTATCCCAGTGAGTTGGTTTGCAAACTGACTAGTCAGGGGTCAAAGAGTTCTTCAGGTTTCCGTGTCTTTTGCCAAAATATCATGCTATAATATTAATTTTTATGTGAATTTTCAAAAAAGGATGAACTATTTACCATTATTAATAAAATGCCAGGCATTATGCTTTTACATCTTACCTCAAATAATCTTCCCAGGTAGGGTTTAATGTCCCCATTTCACAGTTTCCTCTCCGGGAGATACACCAACACTTCCCTGCTAGCCTCCCTGTCTACTGAGGTCCGAGCAGCCCCTCCTGTTAGGAGTCTGAAGAGAACAACACAAGGATTGAGGAAATCAAGGACCTGGCCCCTGTGCTGGGCACCCAGTTTCCCATCTTCACTCAACATATGAGTTGCTTTCCTATGAAGTATGCTCCCCATTCATTTCCACCAAGAAGCCCCCTTCCAGCTTTTCCCCATAACAGTCCACAATTGAAAAGATTCTGTCTACCAGATTGCATTTGAGCACTAGTTAATTCATTTCCTTATTTTAATTAAACTTTTAAAGTTTATTTAGTTTTTCTTTTATTTTAATCAAATAAAGCTTACTTGCTTTGATTTTAATTAAAGACTTAAAAGTATAATGTCAAAGTGACAAAACTGCAGCTGAAAACCAAAGGGGAAAAAAGCCTGGTGCAGTGGCACATGCCTGTCATCCCAGCAACTAGTGAGGCTGAGACAGGAGGACTGCAAGCTTAGTGAGCTAAGTTGCCGAAGCTGGCCTTGAACTTGCAGTCTCAAAATAAAACTTTAAAAGAAAGGGCTGGGGATGTAGCTCAGAGGTAGAATCCTCCCGGATTCAATCCCCAGAAGAGAGAAAGTAAGCAAGCTTTTAACTCCTAAGTATTTCAGCACACACTTCCTAAGAAATGAGGACACTTCCTTCCGTGACAGTAGCACAACACCAAAACTGATGCACATCAGTATCTCATCACTAGTCCTATTCAAATTTTGCCAATTGTCCAAAAACAAAAACAAAATTTCTGGTCCAGGATTGCAAATAGTTGTTACATCTAAATAAGTCCCCAATCTTTCCTAGTGTTCTGCCAACTGGGACAATTTAAGGAATTAGGGCCAATTACTAAGTAAAAGCTCCCTTGATTTGGGTTCACCTAAAGTGTCCTTATGACTGGCTGTGGGTCAGGCATCTATCAGGAAACTACAGAAGCTGTTGTGGTTTGGATGTGAGGTGTCCCCCAAAAGTCCTATGATCAAGCAGGTTCAGAAGTGAAATGACTGAATTGTGGAAGCTTGATATAATGAGACCATCCTGGTTTGAATGG